CTGGCAGGGACTCCAACCGCTCCTAAACCAGAGCATCAAAAGAAGTGTCTTTCTTGCCAATTCTGGAGGACATCGCCAAGAGTGTGATGGATAGCGGATCGATGGGTGTCCTGATGCCTATGGATATTTTGGATTTTTAGCTTTTGTAGATTTTAGAAGAAGCTGTAGTTAGCTCACCCTTTAGCACAGTAGTTTACACATTTACCCAACCCTATTCCCCATTTCATATCTAACTTTCTAAATTTCCTTAGCCTGTTTAGACTTCCCTCAAGGTAGGCCTTCTTTCTGCTTAAGAACATTTGCACCCTGGCTTGAACAACAAGATACATTATAGTCAAAGCATCCTTCAAAACCCAGAACTTTGGAGGAGCTCCAAGGACTGGACGTGATGTGAAGAAGAGGAAGATGAGGAAGAGGGGGTCTTTGAGTCCCTTGACTCAATTTCCAGAGGGATGTGCCAGGGGATAGATCTGGGATTGGATGGACAATACCTTAAATTTTGGAACCCCCTGGACACGTGGCACATGCATGTGTCTCTCTGTACCCCTGTGGTTGAAGGCTTTCTATTAAAACTGCTCTCTACCTTATCTCTACTAATGATTGCCTGGTGAGTAATTTTTTGGCCCTCCCGTGATTCTCTAAGGCATCAGTTTTGTCATCCAAAAGGTGGAAGATCTGAGACCTGTGACTCCTCTGGATCAGGGAATTTCATCCTGTGAGAAATTCTTCTTCTGCCAGCATATTTTGGACAATTCCCTGCACACTGATCCTGAGAAGCCCAGCTCCTCAGAACCACCCACAGAGGTAAGCTAAAGAGCAGTTCTTTTTGGTTAATTTTGCTAGCAACTGGAAAGTAGTTTTTTCAGGAAATTGGGGGTACTTGGTTAGGACTGGGGGGTGACTTTCTTGTTGGGATCCCTGGGTGTTGTGATAGTCAGTTGTTTTTCCCCAGTATATGGGCGAAAGCGTGACCCTGAAGCAGCTTGGTCAGCCAGCATGGGGGTCTGTATCGTGGAGTTTTTCTTCACTTGGCATTTCGCCCGAGCGGGTGCAGGTTGGCTGGCCTGTCTTCAGAAAAGGGGGGGGCTGTGGATGCTCCCCCGCAACTTCTGTAAGGCAAGGGAGGTGCAGAAGCGGGCTGCACCACCCCCTGGATTTGCTAGGGGTTTTTGGATTGGCTTGGTATGGCCGAAAGAGAAAAAGGATGTTCTCTCTCTAAGACCTCTCCTGTAGAGGAAGCCCTTGCTTGAAGTCGTAGTGGCGCAAGGTATTGCGTCTTGGTTTAGTAACCCAGGTTCAAATCCCAGTCCTGCTAAACTTTTTCTCTGCTGCTTTTTTCCTGCCTATTAGTTGTTATCATGGGCTGTGTTGAATCCATAGAAGAGGTCCCAACTGGACCTTCTGCGTTTTTATTACGGCATTGGTATCATCACCAAGAACGGAAAAAGGCTCGTAAAGTAACAGAATCGTCAGTCATACGGGTGCTGGCCACACCCCCGCTCGTCGCAGCGGAAGCGGCGACGTCGTTCGGAGGGGCAGCGGGGGCTCCGCTTGCAACGGCCACGCGATTAGTCCCGGCCCCCGCCGGTCCCATGGCTGCAGCAGCACCTGGAGCCCTCCCCCCTCGCATATTCGGAGGAACCAGCCGGTCCCCATCCTTGCCGCCCGAGCCTCCGACATAGATCTGACTAGTGGGACACGTTTAATGATGTTTTATTTCCCCGTCCCTGCCCCCAGTCCCAGGCCAGCCCCGCGGCCCGTGGCACCGCCCTGCCTACTTAAGCTCCCGGTTCGCAACAGTTGCCATAGCAACAGAGTGCAGAGAGAGCCGAAAACCGGGAAAGATGCATTTTGTATCAGAGAAGAGGAGGGGAACTCCGAAGGGAAGCTCGCTCGGGATGAGCCATCACCCCGCCCCTGTGGTGAACTGCAGGGAGGTGCGGGAGACCGGGCGCTGTGGCCCCTCCTCCCCTCTCCCGATGAACTGTCTAAAACGAAAAGGGGGGGGAGAGAAGAACTATCTGTAATGGCCCGTGTGTGTTCTGGATCTGTTCCAGGCTTACAGCCTGTGATGAATATTCCTGCCCTCTGTGCCCTGATTCAGCTCGGGGAGCTGTGGCAAACCAAAAGGCGGGCCACTGCTTTGTTCTCAATGTGAACTAACAATGTATCAGAAGTTGACTGTTTGCAGAAAGCCTTTCCAGCAGACAGACCTGAAAGCTGTGCCACCAGAAAACCCAGGTTGGCAGTAAAACGGATGGAAATTGTGAGAAATATCTCTAATTAAAATTTCGGAGATTGCCAAATAAAGTGAAACAAAGAACTTTAATAACAGTGCGCTGGGTGCACCGAACTTGTGATCATGTTCGAGTACCCCCCAAATGGGAGGGACTAGCCCTTTTAAGACCCTTCAATTTGCATAATCACTCCCTCGCTCCTCCCATGCAAGGCCTTGCTCTTTTCTTCCTTAAAAGGCAATCTTTGCTTTCTGGTGCAGTCCGTTGGTTGTCTTCATCCACCTATCAGGTTGTTTCCCTTCCCCCGGTCGCATGGTCCCTTGGCAGTGAGCCCAGGCTGGTCTCACCACCTTACATTCTTCCCGGCTCGCCTTCACACTGTAGCAGTAAGTAAGCAGAACTGTAAGTAGCAGTCGGCAACAATAAGCAGCAATAGGCAACCCCAAGCAGAACTGTATGTAGCAGCAGGTAGACAGAACTGTAAGCAGCAGCAATAAGTAACTTTAAGCAGAACCACAAGCAACTCACTAGTCCTTGACCACAAAATGGCTCCTCAACTTTCCAAACAAAATGGCCCCCAGGTGTCTCGGCACGAGGCAGCCATGGAAATCCCTGCTTGTAATAAAACCGTCTTATTTATTTCCCACAGAAACCACTTCCTGAAGAAATAATCAAATAGCAGAACATGCCTTAACAACTGCAAGCGAGATACACCAAGACAAAAGTTTTGGACGGTAATAAGAATTCCTGAGATGCTCAGGTCAGGAGTAGGTAAAGAAGAAAGACCAACAAGGAAAAACTTCTGTCACAGTTAAGAACTGTTGTAAGATCAGCCTGTGGCTTCCAAAGGTGGTGTGTACACAAGAATCAGACTGCAATTTGAATAACACTTTCAAAACACCAGATGGTGCAATGAGTATTGTATTTTTATTTTGTTATCTTCTGTCCTATGTTGCTTTTAGGCTTCTTTTACTGTTAGTTTAATTGAGCAGAATTGAAAGCTCATATACTTTTTGCTACATTGTTTGTTTTAAAGTTTGCAATGTTTATATTTGCATATATCTTGTCCCAGCAGTTTAGCAGCATTTTGTGAGCACCGTTTGGAATATCTGTGTCTCCTCTCTAATTACTGCAGCTTGTGAAAGAGAGTCCTCCCTGGATTGGTTTGGTTTGGAAATCCACATAGGATTTCATGTGATTGTGAGATCAAATTTATCTACCTTATGTCTCTAAAATGCTTTGTCATCCAGTATCATCTAGGAGTGTGTGAACGCTGAATTTCACAGAAGAAGAGTCCTGTGTTATGAGGCAAAAGGGGGGTAAGAAGGTGACTGCAAATGAAGGACTGGTTCTGTGGACCCTCCCATGGGACCTTGAGACCTGGCTTGCACCTTGCCTGCAAATATTTGAGACAAACTGGTAACACCACTGGTGGGATAGTACGCTTAGATTGCTTAGATGATTTGCTTAGATTGTTTCCTAGCCTTATTGTAATACAGCTGTTTTGTTGGTGTTCATATACACATATAGGCACATATACATGAGTGCACCTAACCCAATACATGGGGATGCTTTTATATGTGGAAGCAAGCACGGCCACTTCATGAGGTAAAGATGATTGACTGCAGTCTGGGGCAGACTTTGGCAGGATGATCTGTCCCCGGTAAGGCCTGAAATCTGTCCAGAGAATACGAGCTCTCTGTGATGAGCCAGGGTGCTGTTTGATGTTGCACCAAATTCCAGAAACAGCCTGCTTCTGGTAAGCTCCTAACTGGCCTATAGATCTGCGACTGGCAGTTAATCACTTTATGTTATAGAAGCTCAAGATCCTCTTACACAGTCAAGATGCAGGAATTCCAAGATTGGGATTCCTCTGAGATTGTCATTGGACAGAGAGTCACACTTCATGAACTCACAAAACACAAATAAAAAGGGTTTGTCAAGAAACATCTATGATGTGGGTTCAGGCCTTCCCTATGGCCTTGCTGAAGATTTGCATACAACCAAGGCAGAGAAACAACATGATCCCTATATTCATATAAGGGAAGGTTAACTTACAAAATTGTTTAATGGTTTAGGCTCTGCTTTGCAGGAACTGCAGAGATTCATTGTGTCATCTAGACCCATGGGACTGGACACTCCTGTTTATCTGTTCCAGCCCAGAGACTGAGCCTATGTTAGGTGATGGGACTGGACCCCTGCAAGCCAAGTGGAAAGAACTGTTTCACGTCCAGCTGACCATCTCCATCGTGGTCAGAGTTGCTGGCAAAGGACCCTGAATTTGCTACCCAGAGGAAAGAAAGCCTCTGTTCCCGAGACAAGTGGAACAACAGAGACTGTTACAGGGACTGTTAAAATGATGTTTAAACTGTTTTTTCTGTGTGTATTGTCTAATACCACTGGTAATTATGAATTGGGTTTAGAACCAAAATTTACATTTGGCTTTAGTAAAATGTATCCAATATTCTTCATGAAAGTGAGTGCTGGATTTGCGCTATGGATTCGGCTGAAATTTGGCAACAAGCTTAAATTCTGCATTTGGCAACTCCTGAGGATGTCACATTAGGTTTACAGGGATATCTTCTATAAACTTACTTCATAGTTACCAAATCTGAACCTGGATAAAGCAGCCATTCATATTAGTTGTATATTTTGTTAGATCTTCATAATAGCTTATGGTATGGTTAGTGTTAGTCAACTTTTTGGTATAATGTTAAGTATAGGTGCTAGACATTGGACAAGATAGAGTTTTGTCCACCTCTAAAGGGGGGGACTGATGCCTATGGATATTTTGGATTTTTAGCTTTTGTAGATTTTAGAAGAAGCTGTAGTTAGCTCACCCTTTAGCACAGTAGTTTACACATTTACCCAACCCTATTCCCCATTTCATATCTAACTTTCTAAATTTCCTTAGCCTGTTTAGACTTCCCTCAAGGTAGGCCTTCTTTCTGCTTAAGAACATTTGCACCCTGGCTTGAACAACAAGATACATCATAGTCAAAGCATCCTTCAAAACCCAGAACTTTGGAGGAGCTCTGTTATCATTTACTTTGGTTGAATACCAGGTATCCACTGGGCCTGCACCCAAGTCCCTCTGGAGGAAGGGGGGGGGGGGGGGAAGGAAAGAGGGAAGAAAAAAAAACTACTGGAATCGGAACTGCTAAGAAAGATTATTTATATTTACACGAAGATGGGAAACACTATAAGCAATATGTATACAAAGAAGAGCTAAAAAAAAAGATACTTCCCAAACAACCAACGCTTTTCTTCCCGAAACCGCCTCACTTGGTAACTGGAAGAGTAAAGAGAGCTCTCTTTCTTCCTGGCTGTTTAAATAGCTGGGCTGATGTAACACGGTATGGAATATCTTATTGGCAGAATACACATCAAATGACTTATCCTATTTCTGTTTTTCCCTCTCAGGGAGTATAACAAACCCATTACAAGGCCTGGACATGCTGTGACAAAGAGGAAGATGGGGAAGAGGGGGTCCTTGAGCCCCCTGCCTCAAATTCCAGAGGAATGTGCCAAGGCGAGGATCTGGGGAGCGGATAGATCTGGGATTGGATGGACAAACACCCTAAATTGTGGAACCCCCTGGACATGCGCACACGTCTCTGTACCCCCGTGGTTGAAGGCCTTCTATTAAAACTGTTTCCTTATCTTATCTCTATAATAATTGCCTAGTGAGTCTATTTTTTTGCTTCCTCCTTTAAGGCAACAGTTGTTACAATATTCCTCAATAGCTCGGTTTTTTGGCACATGTGCGTCTACATGGCAGACTCTCATGATCAGCTTCTCTACCCGGGCGACAATGTCTTTCCACATTTTGAAAGCCCAGATGGGTTTTCCTTTTGCATTGCCAATTGGCTTTTGATATGGTTTGGAGCTGGCTCCCTGCCAAGTCTCCAAATCTTACCACAAGAAGTCCCCCCCCCCACCCCAAGCCAAGGGAGAAGAGGGAGAGAAAAAAAACAAAAGAACTGAAAACGAGAGAGAGACAAAGCAATATATAAATATATTTACACTTATATTACAGTTATATACAATTGAAAAAATATATATACAATTTCACAGGGAAAAGGGAAAGGGAAAGGGGAAGGGAAGAACAAAAACCAAAATAAAATATATATATATATATCCCGATCAATAGCCCAAGGTCTATCAACTAAAAGAATTAGCAAAGAATATCTTACTACTCTCCTTGGGACAACGGAGAGTCGCGCTGGAGCGACTGTCGGCAGCCTCCGCCTCCCAAGGTCGACAAGGCCTTACCAGGCCTCGCTCCCCAACCCAGCAGACTCAACAGCAGGGAACCTGTGGGGTGAAGTTGTAGCCCCACAATTGAAGTTTGAGGTAGTGCAAAAGTTAGGTCGTGTTCCATGGGAGCAGTGGAGCTGGTTAGATGGTTTCCATGGGTTGCAGGGAGTACAAGGTTAAGGCTGTTTAATAATGTGCAGGTGCTTAAATTCCTGGGTGTTGTTGTGGGAATATGTTTGTGTTTAGAAGTTAGCAAGCTCAATAAAGGCTGCCTGCTGCGCTGAGCAGGCAGACATCTCTGTCTCACTACCTTTACGTGTCGTGTGCCTTTCTTCCCCCACGGACCAAGACCTCACGACAGTTACCCCACGACAGGAACCCACACCTCCAAAGCTGCCGGAAGGAAAGAGAGCGAAGGCCTTTCCTCCCTTCTTCTTATACCCCGGCTTACGTAAAAATCGTAGGGAATACCAGGTAAATCTGGGCACTTCCTTGGTTACAAACTGGTCACCAAGGAAGGCCTAGACCAAACTACCACACTTTCTTCCATCTGTCTAGGTATGAGTGATTAAGAAATGAGGCTGCACACACAGAATTCAATTTTGGGATTTCTCCACAGATCTTTTTCTGCATTTCTCTTTTATTCATATTCTTATGTAAACAGCACCTGATGTTGTCTTTTAATTAACCAGAATTCCCAGGATCTTGCTAAACTGGTGTTTTGATCCCACACATTCACACTCATATCACATGGTGACTGTTTTCAGTCATGGGAAGAACCATTCACGCTATCATGAAGATCATTAAGTGGTTTTCCACTTTGAGAACACAGCACTCTCTTTGTCAAAACACCCATCAAGATCGATCCTCCTTTCTGGTTCTAATTAATTAAATGCAGGTGCAGGGCTGACTCAACTTGTTCCCACATCTAGCCACCCCTACAGAGCGTTGGCCACCATCCACGAGTCAGTGTAGAGGTAAAGCCTTGACCACTTCTCTTGTTCGACAATATCCAAAGCCAGTTGGATGGCTCTGAGCTCTGCAAGTTGATTCGATCCACCTTGTCCTTCAGTGGCTTCTGCAACTTGTTGTGTGGGGCTCCATATGACTGCTTTCCATTTTCAGTTTGTCCCTACAATGCAACAGGAACCGTCAGTGAAGAGCATAGTGTGTTTCTTCTTTTGGCAGTTGGTTGTATGGTGGAGCTTCCTCAGCACATGCCACCTGTTTTTCTTCCTCTTCATCTGCCAGACCAAAGTTCTCACCTTCAGGTCAATTTGTGATTATCTCCAAGATCCCAGGGCAATTCAGGTTTCCTATTCAGGCACGCTGTGTGATCAAGGCAATCCATTTACTCCATGTAGCGTCAGTGGCATGATGCATGGAGGGAACCTTTCTCTTGAACATCCACCCCCAGCACTGCTAGTCGGGGTGCCAGGAGAAGCTTTACTTCTGTGCCAATCACTTCTGAGGCAGCTTGAACACCTTCATAGGCTACTAGAATCTCCCTCTCTGGGGTGTAGTTAGCTGCAGACCCTCTGTAGCCTTGGCTCCAGAATCCAAGTGGTTGGCCTAGAGTCTCCCCAGGTACCTTCTGCCAGAGGCTCCAGGAAGGACCATTATCCCCGGCTGCAGAGTAGAGCACATTCTTCACCTCTGGTCCTGTCCTGACTGGCCCAAGGGCTACAGCATGAACAACCTCCTGTTTGATCTGTTCAAAGCCTTGTTTCTGTTCAGGGCCCCAGGGGAAATTTTCTGACAGACTAGGCAGTGTTCAATTGTTTAATCCTTTCTGTCTCTGCAGCAGCAATTCCAAAGGCCCACCGATGTTCTTTTGGGTCTTTGTAATACCCATTCCTGAGGTAGTCAATGGCCAGGATACACGGGGCATCTGGACCAGTCACGAGGGGGTGTTTCTGCCAGTCTTTCCCGGTCAAGCTCACTTCAGCTTCTGACACCGTCAGCTCTTGAGAACCCCCTGTCACCCCAGAAATGGAAATAGACTCTGGCCCCACACGTCCTGATGACATTAAGGTACATTGCGTGCCAGTGTCAACCAAAGCTCTGAATTCTTGTGGTTCTGATGTGCCAGGCCATCGGATTCACACAGTCCAGTAGACCCTATTGTCCCTTTCTGTTGCTGGAGGCAGGGCCTCTCTAATCTTGGTCATCATAGCTCCTCCTACCTCCCTGTGAATACATACGGGAGGTACCTTCTAGTGGGTCAGACATGTCATAGTCCTATCTGTTTTGCCTTAACACTTCTACACAGGAAAGTGGCACTGCATTCACCCTTGCTGACTTTCCTGTTGCATTTGCTTTCTCCTTCAGTTCCTGTACTCAGGCTGCTAGGACACAGGTAGGTTTCCTGTCCCATCGATTCATGTCTTCCCCATGCTCAAGTAGGAAGTACCACAAGTTGGTTCCTGGGGAGTAATACCTCCCCCCAGCTGGGAGGCATCTGTTTCTGACCTTGGGAGCTCTGGTTTGCACTGCTGCAACATGGAAGCTGTTTTCCTTATCTTCTCTTGAAGTTTTTTGTGGCTATCTTTCCTTTTGTTGGTAATCTCCTCTTTGAAATTCCAGAGATCCTCATCCAGCTTTTCCACAGAACTGACCTGGTTTTGGGATGGAGTGTGGATGGTGTCTTCATATGCCCTCAACTTCCTTGCCATAGCGCCCACTGTTTCTCATGCTTCACCCCATTGAAGCATGGCTAGGAAGTAGGCATATATCTGTGGTCTGAGTTGTGTGAGCTTCAGCCACATTTGGGACGTACACCTGACATTGTATGGGCTTCTGGAGTCTGGAGTTGGCTTGGACCAACTCAAGTGTGTGTGGGGGGGGAAGGGACAGATTGAATTTCATGAAGGTGAGGTGGTGCTCTGTTCCATACCCCAGCCCCTTGGAGCCTCCTTGGGCAGCCCCAGAGCAGCTGTCAGTCAAAAGCAACCTGGGAGCACTGCCCCATACCACACCCCTTGAAGCCCCTAACCCAGCCTCAAATTGGCTAGCACACCAGAAGTCCCACCTAGGGGGTGTGGCCACAAGGGGCCAGAGCAGATAAAAGCCAAAGCCATGCAGCCATTGTATGGTTGGACCCTACCATCTGGACATGTGGAAGCTGGACTTGCATGGGACTCTGGGTGGTAGCTATAATTCTCATTTTTTCTCTGTCTTTCTTTACTTCTCCTAATCTCCTTTCTTGATATTTTGGGTAACTTAAAGTTGGATGGGTTAGCATGTGCTAAGTCAATGCTTTGTGAAATGCTTTATTCTGGTTGAATGTTGCCCTTTAAACTTTTACCAAGTTCCCTTATTTTCTGAAGTTTGACAGTAAAAGTGTGTTATTTGACCTCCTGAGAAAACATGTGAAGCGTCTTCTCCCTTGTGCTCTCTCTCAAGGTATTAAAAGAACTGAAGGCCCTTTTAAAATATCTAGAGGGTGGATATTTTTGGTGCCTTGTATATTCTTAAAGTAAAACCCCTTCAATGAGCTCATAGCTCGGAGCCTGGAGTCTGACACTAGGCATTGACAAAACATGTTTGTTTTGCTCTAAATTTTTTTGGTTTACTGAGCTGTGGGGATACTCTCTGTTCTGTTTATGCTGAGGGGATGGTAATCTTGGCACCCAGTGGGTTCAAGAGCCATGGACAGTAACAGCTTAAATATTTTCCAGGTAATTTCTTCATGTGTCCATCAGTCAGACCCTTTACATATGCATAGTGTTTGCTCAGGGTTTGTCCAACACAGGCCATGTTTGTGCCATCTTAATAGTATACAAGGATATACATGGATGCATATGGCAGGATTTCCAAACATACTGTAGGGTGATAGACCAATTTAAGGCCATGATGGCCATCCTGATCGGTTACGGGAAACACCTCAGCACCTGGAGGGGGCATTCCCAGAAACCCATTGTCAGATGATAATGGGTTACACAAAAAGGGACAAAGAGACCCCGATGGCTTCCCAAAAGTCCTCAACAAAATGGGGAGACTTCCCAGCAACAGACTGATAGGATTAATGAAGGATGGAGTGTTATGGAAATAGCATGGCCTTTCTTCCCAACATCCTACAGGAACACAGGGAGCCAACCCTTAGGCCTATGTCATCTGTCTATCACCCCAAAAATTATTATTGACTATAGTCACTCAAATTGCCTAAGAAAAGAAAGTATAAAAAGAGATCGAACATGAGCAAAATGGGGGAGAAGTTCCATCATCTCTGTGGGGGTAACTAACGAGCTGCCCTGTCTCCTTCCACTCCTTTGGACACTGTAGGGGTGAGCAACCATTTACTCTGCTTTCTTTACCTCGACCTTGCCTTATACCTTATAGATTACTGTCTTTCAACTTTACCCCATAGATACCTTATTTACTAACTGTACTTTGCTTTATAGATACTAATTTTACCTTGCCCTACACCTTGTAACTTACCGGGTATATATCTTACTTTTTTGTTGTTGTCCTATATTGTACTTTATTGCCGACTCGTTGTTCGTGGTTTGCTTTAAGGTGTGCATTTCCTTATCTTAATGAGTTAAAATGTGTGTTAGTGGGAAGTGGCTATATTCTTTCTTTTTTGCTTTGTGTTAATGAGTGTGTTTAGATTTTGTTCTAGTCTTTGTAAATTGGTCTGTCATGGAGGGGGGTTGCTTGAGTTTTGTATTAAGGCTTAGGTAGTTGTGTTTTTGTAGAGCGCGCTTCTGGTTTTTGGGTTTTTTATTAGTTAAGTGCCATCGTGCAGTTAAACGTTATCACCAGCGACACAAACCCTGCAGTAGTTTGTCACATAATTTTTATTAATACAAGTATTTTGTGAGCTGCTAGAGTTAGTCCGGTTTGTTTCTGGTGCTGGCAGCCTCGTAACTTGTAGGAGAACTTAGCTGAGAAGGTTCTCCATTGCTATTAAGTGCCGTCCCCATATCAGGGTATCAAAAGTCCTGTCCATCATAGTGAATCTGTCTAGCAAAGGGTCTCTTTAGGTGAGGCACGGACAGATAGTTTTGGGCTTTAAAAGGCTTTGGTATTCTGGAGACACTGATAGCCAATAACAAATATATTAATACAGGTGGGACAAGAAATCTTTGCATTTCTGCCCCTTTTCATGTGACACATAGACACACAGAGTTACTGTGTGAAGTTCTTTGAGAAACTTGGGGATGAAAAGTATTGATTTGCTGTAAAATAGTATTACTTATCTAACGTGAAGAATGTGCACATATGCAAAATATAATTCCTTTCATATCTTCCCATCCTGCACAAAGAGCAGCAATACCTTAGTGCTGACATCTTTAATATGGTGTTTACCTAGGTACACATTTAAAAAAAAAAGGTTCTTTGTTCATAATATAATGGCCCATCTTCGCGAACGAAGATTTTGGGAAAGGTCTTTTACCTTTCCAGCCTGCGCAATGGATTTTTTAGGTGAGACACAGCCTGCGCTGAACTGAGCCCACCCTTTAATCCTAAGGTTCATCTGCCGGGGCCAAGCAAGCTTGGACAATGGCAGTGAGGTCCTCAGGACGTAGGTTTGTTTAGAGTGTCCTTCTCATAGATGGATGGCCACACAGGGCTAACGACCTCCATCAGGCCAGGAGACCGGGGAATCGAACCCGTGGTCACAGCAGTGAAAGTCCTGCATGCTAACCACTAGGCCACCAGGGGTCTCATAAAACTTTGCAAAACCTGTAAGATGATAATAAAAAAATTGTTTCTGAAATATTTCTTCACACACCCTGCCAAATATTCTTCAATACCCCTTATTATTATTATGTGTTCCTTTAGGCTTATTATAATCTTAGGATTCACCATTTTCTGAGCTAAAGGTGCATTTTGTCACTAAACCTATCTCTCTGATACAGTTCACATCTACCCAATGCTTTCTGTCATTCCAACAACAAAATGTTTGTGCTTTTCTGCTCTGCTTGCACTGAAATGCTGTTTTCCATGGCTGTTCTTGTCTGTACTGGAATGACAGAAAGATGAAAAGTAACTAAATTAGTAAATACAATCAAAAGATACAGAGGATCACATATTTTAACTGCTGCATAAAAAGAGTATGACATAATCTAATCAGAGTAGGCCAGATATTTAAACATTCAGCTATTCTCAATAAGTCTTGACTTGTCAGGGAAGGTCAGGCTCCCTAAAATCCCTAGTTAGCACCTTTGGGTACTTGGCAACATTACCAAGAAAATGCTTTGAGACTGAACTCCACTGAAAGAGGGTGGACATATTTATTCAAAACATTTCCAGAGAAGTGGTGTACCTTCCAAACCAGATTAATCATTTAAGGGTTCACTTTAGATTGGAAAAAAACATTGGTGGATTGTCTTCTCTGACTGAAGAAATCAAAACACATAGAAGTAATGAAAATAACTTCTGAGAGAAACGCTTTTTTCCCTTTTATTTGCTCAGGGTGTTCTTATTGACCTTCCTCAGTTAAATACATTTTGGTTACTTTTACCACTGTATTATGTTCATTCCTTTGCAACCATCTAACAACTAAATCCTACCACATCCACCTTGATACACAATACAGGTTCTTATGGCTTGGTATGTACACACAGTCAGGTCTGGGATATCCACACTCTTTCCTCTTCCCATTAAGGGTGGAGGGCATAAGAATATAACATGAAATGTAGGAATAAGATGTCAAATCAAAGGCTTATCTAGCCCATTATCTTATCTATAATAGCATTAATAGCAGACGCTTAGGAAAATAATTTAGATGTGAGCAATGAGGTAATAGAATAGCACCTTCCTCATGATATAACCTCCCTGTTCCACCATCCTACGAACTTTCCAAGCAGCAGCTTGTTTCTCAATGACTATATTTAATATTATCTGACCTCCACAATATGTTCTGGCAATGAGTTAATAGATTAACAATGCATTTTAGTACTAAGTATGTTGCCTAAAATTGGAGAAACAATTCTCTGGACAATTTTGAGTATAGAAAGGCAAAAAGCAGCTCTTTAATTGAGGCACCATAGTTGCACAAAACATATTGCACAGCCCAACAGTATAGGTCCTCACAATTTTTATAATACCATCTAATTACAATATCTGGACATTACCTCATGGGTTACACCAATCCCCAAAACTGTTCCTCCCATCAGACCCCCCTTGCCACACCTCCTGAATTTGAGTCAGTCGTCCCAAAATGACCACCCTTTCCTCCCAACCCTTGTCTTCCTCATTGTCTATGTCCTCCTTGAAATGGCTTCAAGGCTTCTGAGTAGTTTTGACTGGACATATCAAGTGGTGTGACCCTGTTATATCTTATTCTAAGTACATTTCTACAGATAAGGTGTTTTTTTCACCTTGCTAAAATCTTTGACAGCTGGAATTCTTGACAAGGAACATTAAACAACATTTTCAGAAATCTTGTACAAAGGTGT